ACACTGCTTGTTTTTACATTTCAATTATTTAAAATTTATAAAATTTGGGGCACCTGGGTGGCTCTGTCGGCTAAACGTCTGACTTCGGCTCAGGTCATGATCTCATGGTTCATGGGTTCAAGCCCCACATCAGGCTCTGTGCTGACAGCTAGCTCAGAGCCTGGAGCCTGCTTCAGATTCTGTATCTCCCTCTCCCTCTGACCCTCCGCTGCTCATGCTGTCTCTCTCTCTCTCTCTCTCTCTCTGAGAAATAAATAAAACATTACAAAAATTTTAAATAAAATTTATAAAATTTCTATACTTATTATTTTCTTTTTAAAAACTTTTTAATGTTTATTTATTTATTTAAAAAATTTTAATGTTTTTTATTTATTTCTGAGAGAGAGAGACAGCGTGAGCAGGGGAGGGCCAGGGAGAGAGGGAGATACAGAATCTGAAACAGGCTCCAGGCTCTGAGCTAGCTGTCAGCACAGAGCCCGACGCGGGGCTCGAACTCATGAACCATGAGATCATGACCTGAGCCCAAGTCGGACGCTTAACCCACTGAGTCACACAGGCGCCTCTAACATTTATTTATTTTTGAGAGAGAGAGACCAAGTGCTAGCAGGAGAGGGACAGAGAGAGAGGGAAACACTGAATTGGAAGCAGGCTTCAGGCCCTGACCTATCAGAGCAGAACCTGACATGGGGCTCAAATGCACAAACCCGGTGATCATGACCTGAGCTGAAGTTGGACGCTTAACCAACTGAGTCACCCAGGCACCCCTATTTATTTATTTATTTTTAAATGTTTATTTATTTTTGAGAGAGAGAGACAGGGTGCAAGTGGGGGCAGGGCAGGGACAGCCAGAGACACAGAATCTGATGCAGGCTCCAGGCTCTGAGCTATCAGCACAGAGCTCAGAAAATGAGATCTTGACCTGACCTGAAGTCAGACGATCAACCGAGCCACACAGTGTGCCCTAAAGTTTATAAAATTAAAAAAAAAATTCCTTAGTCCCTAAGCACATTTCAAATGCTCAAGCCCCAGGTTGCTCTCAGTTATCACAGTAGGTCGAGGGGAAAAGTGCAAAGGCCTTAGAAATGTGTCTGGCATTTGGGAAGGCCAGTGTGGATGGAACATGAGTGGTGGAGGGGGAGCGTGGGAGGAGGTGAGGTGAGAGAGGTGACAGGGCCAGATCAAGTGAGACCTTGTGGACCACAGAGAGGACTTCTGATCTGAGTTAGGCTGGGGACCACTGGAGTGTGTTTTCCAACTTCAATTCTGATACTTTCTGAACTTGTACAAAAAGAGAAGGGACAGCATTACAAGTCCTGTGGGCTCATCACCAGCTCCAGTTATTACCAATTCAGGGCCAATCCCCCCAGGCACCCACTGCCTTCTCTCTAGCTTACTTTGAAGCCAAATCTAGACATCATATTCTTTTACTCACAAGCAATTCATGGAGTACTGCCAGATCAGGATCGTTTTAAAATCAAATTACAATACTTTTACTGCTGTAAAGAAAACCCTAGTCATTCTTCCACACCATTCATATCCAGGATTGTGTCCAGTGCTGTACGAGGGAGGGAGCTGAGCAAGAATGGTAGTAACATGGGGTGCCTGGCTGGCTAAGTTGGTAGAGCATGCGACTCTTGAGGGGTTGTGAGTTCGAGCCCCACATTGGGTGTTGAGATGACTCAAAAATAAAATCTTTAAAGAAAAAAAAATTTTTTTAATATTATTCATATTTGAGAGACACACACACACACACAGAGTGGGAGTGGGAGAGGGTCAGAAAGGGAGACACAGAATCCGAAGCGGGCTCTAGGTTCTGAGCTGTCAGCACAGAGCCCGATGCGGGACTCAAACTCAAAAACAGTGAGATCAGACCTCAGCTGAAGTCGGATGCTCAACCGACTGAGCCACCAGGCACCCCTCAAAAATAAAATCTTAAAAACATAATAATAATGGTGGTAACTTGCTGGTGTGGTTAGTGACTCCTCATCAGGTACTGTGAGTTTCCTACACTTCCCTAAGGCCCCACTAGGTCACTTCACGTGCCTGGTCACTGGCTTGGCCCCTTGGGACAGTGGAATGTGTGACCCAAGACAAGAATGTACTCTAGTGAACTGTCATTCCCAATAGGGTGAAGACCAGAATCTATAAGGGAAACCAGATTTTATTTTTCAAAATGGCAAGGGATACCTGGGTGGCTCAGTTGTTAAGACCCAACTTTGGCTCAGGTCATGATCTCATGGCTTGTGAGTTAGAGCCCTATGTCAGGCTCTATGCTGACAGCTTCGAGTCTGGAGCTTGCTACAGATTCAGTGTCTTTCTCTCTCTACCCCTCCCCTGCTTACGCTGTCTTCCTCTCTCAAAAATAAACATTAAAAAATTTGTTTAAGGTAAAAAAAATCCAGAAATTTAATTGTAATTGATTGCTACATCTGTGAAGCTATGCATTTAAACTATCCATAAGAGATTTATAAAGTCTCAAAAATAACAGGCTTTACTGTTTTCAAATCTGTTGTAAAAATGTTCTCTGTGTGTAAAGATCTCCGATGCCCAAATGTAAATGACCATTGGCCTTTTGTGTTCTTGTAAGTTTTCACTTCAAATCACTCAAAAGCTTTAAGACTAGTACATCAAATTCCCATATACCCTTCACCTAGATTCACCATCAATATTTTACCGTACCACTTACACTCTTGCTAATATATTTATGTATGTGCATATATTTTGGAACCATATGAAATATACACTGTAGACATGATATTCTTTACTCCTAAATACTTTGGTGTATAGTTCTTTTTTTTTTTTTTTTAATTTGAGAGAGAACACAAGCTGGGGAGAAGGGCAGAGGGTGGTAGAGAATCTTAATCAGGTTTCACAATCAGCATGGACCCCCAGCTTGGGGCTTGATCCCATGACGCTCGCTGGATTGTAATCTGAGCTGAAATCCAGAGTTGGACGCTCAACCAACTCATCCAACCCAGGTACCCTGGTGTGTAGTTCTTAAGAACAAGAGCGCTCCCTTACACTAGTTATCAGAATCTGGAATTTCAACCATTCCTTTCAATTGTTATTAATCCACAATATATACCCCAAATTACTCCAAACCCCATAAGTCCTTTATAGCAATTTTCTTTTTTTAAATTTTTTTAATGTTTTATTTATTTCTGAGAGAGAGACAGCGTGAGCAAGGAAGGGTCAGAGAGAGAAGGAGACACAGAATCCGAAGCAGGCTCCAGGCTAGCTGTCAGCACAGAGCCCGACATAGGGCTCGAACCCACAAACTGTGAGATCATGACCCGAGCCGAAGTTGGACGCTTAACCGACTGAGCCACCCAGGCGCCCCACAGCAATTTTCTTAGCCCAGGAGATTCCCGTTTGACAGGGCTAAGGGACTGAGAAGCATTGACCCTGGGCCTTAGCAGAGTGAAAAAACACAGCACAAACACAGAGAATATCAACCATGTGTAAATGTTGGCACACTCTGACCCAAAGACTTGGGGGGAGGTTTATTTAGGGCATGATCCCAGGAGACAGGGGTTAGGGAGTGGGGAGAGTGAGACCAGTCAGGGGATACGCCAAAAAAGGTGCTCATGAAATGGCAACTGCTGTGGGCGACTGGGACTCAGTCCCACAGGGGGGGCCTCCGAGGAACCTTCGGGAATAGACTTGCACTTGCCCCACCTGACAACAGGCAGGCTGGAGCACTCATCCAGTGACTGCTGCACCTCCCCACCCCCCACACTCAGGCTGAGGATTGTTCCAGAGCGCATTAACCCACATTCTGTAACTCCCAGAAAGTCCTCATGCAAAGGAGCAGACATAGGAGCTCACAGCAGGAAGCTGGCAGCCTCCTGGGAACCCTCTTCTTTAGCTCCGAGTGGACCCAAACATACAAGAGGGTCACAGAATTGGGACATCATCTGCTGCCACACCACATATTCAATCCACTCTATTATAACTGCCACATGAGGGAGGCCCTATGATGATGCCCATTTCACAGATAAGGGGACTGAGGTATGAAGAGGTTAAATCACAGGTCCATGATCATATAATGAGTACGTGTTGGAGTGGGATCCAAACGCAGGCATTCCAGTTCCGGAGTCCATGACCTCCTACCTCCTCCGTCACATCAGGCACTCCGCTCCCTCATTCCCTCTACCACACAAACTCAGTTCATCTGTATTACCTGGGTAGAACGTCTCCCCTCCTGACCCAGGTCACCCCGCCACAGTGGGAACTTGCTCACTGACTGCAGCCCTACCAGAAGCTTCCATCCTGGGGATTCTTAGGGCTCAAGATCTTGGAGCCAGGAGTGAGCAAGATGGAGAGGTGACTGATGCAGTTAAGATGTAATGGGGGCTGGGGGCGCCTCGGTGGCTTAGTCGGTTAAGCGTCCGACTTTCGCTCAGGTCATGATCTCACGGTTCGTGGGTTCGAGCCCCGCGTCGGGCTCTGTGCTGACTGCCAGCTCGGAGCCTGGAGCCTGTTTCAGTCTGTGACTCCCTCTCTCTCTGACCCTCCCCTGCTCACGCTGTCTCTCTCTCTCTCTCTCCTAGAAATAAATAAAAAACATTAAAAAAAAAAAAGATGTAATGGGGGCTGGATGGGTAGGACCCCATTACTATTTTCAAAACTTTGGCTTTTACCGAGATAGATCAGCCCAGGATTAACAGGAACACTATGATGGAAATAAAAACTGAGGCTGAGAGAGATGAGCAAGATGGCGGAGGTCTCAAGTACTAATAACCAAGACAGCTGAAGTGGAAGCCATGTGTGAGCTAAGAGAGAAAAGGTCAACTGGGGCTTCTCTGGAGACAAACCAGGATGGGTCGGTCCATGGATCTGCCCAGGTGCATGAACTAGGCTGCCTCAACCAATCTGCTGGTCTAGAGAGTTCCAGAGAACAGATAGCTCTCCACACCTCTCCCTCCCAGAGGGTCACTTGTTGGCTTGTGAGGGCCTTTAAAAAAAAATCCCCAAATACATGAAATCTTTAAGACCACTAAGAGGGAAGTAATCACATCTCCAATTTTATTCCTTTTATTCAACAGTCCTGAGAGAAGGGCCCAGGAGGCAGGGTTCCCCCTCAGAACCATCAAGTATAGGTTGTCTTAAGGGGTCTTCAGTTGATCAAATGGGGTAAGATAACCCAGCCCTTTCCCCACAGGTCCTAGTTTGCCACAATTAACGGGAAGAAAGTTTTCCAAAGGGGATTTAGGGCTTCTCACCATCCATCAGGGTATCTTCCCAAACTTCTCAGCAAAAAATCTGCTCTTCTCAGAGTTAAATACAGGAGAGGGGAGCCACGGGTAAATAGAAGGATGTCCCTTTCTGTCCGATGGCAGGCGTCTTGGCTCCCCAAGCTTTCGGGTAAGTAGCTCTCTGCTTGACACAGTTCAGCCAGCCGGCAACAAAGCCGCTCCAAACCCTCATGAGAGTTCGATCTGTTATCACGGATCACACAAGGTCGGTCAACTGTCACCATCTATCACGGGGGTCTCTGGGGCTCCACGTCGCTAGGAGGGCTCTCCGATCCCCCAATCCATTGAGCTGATCTTAAGACTTCTCACGTTTCATCAGACAGGTTCCCCGATCCCCCCCCGCAGTCAGGCGGGCCCCCGGTTCCCCTGCGCTACCGGGTAAACTCCTCGTCCGGTCACCGTCCATGGGAGAGGTCTCTGGTGACCCCATGCCGTCGAGGGGATTCCTCGGACCACTGACATTGTCAGGCTGGGTCCCTGCGGCCCCCGCGCCGGACTCCTCGGCTGGACCCCGCGGGCGCACGAACTCACCCAAGGCAGTGGCGTGGCCCGAGCGCAGCAGCTGCAGCTGGCGCCGCCCGCGGCGGTACAGGTACTCGATACGCAGCACGTCGGAGCGCGGCAGGGAGGCATGCTGCCGAAACTCCGCGCGCACTCGCGCCTCGGCACCGGGCTTCCCGCGCCCGGCGCGCAGCAGCTCGCGGTACAAGCTCAGAACTTGCCTCTGCAGCCGGCTAGGCCGGCTCATGGTAGCAGCTGGGCCCAGGGCGCACACAGGAAAGGCCCCGAGAACAGCGGTGCACAGGACCTTCGCGAAGACGCGGCCGCGCAAAGCAACAGGCACTTCCGGCCCATGCGCTCCAAAACTTCCGCTTCGTGCCTCGGCTAGCGGGCGCAGCCGAGCCCCGTTGGCTGTCGGTCAGTTACGTCACAATATTGTGGGGCAGGGGCGGAGCTGCTGGCTCCCCGCCTGTCCGGCAGGGCATCTGTGTACTTGGGACTGCAATTCTGGGAACCCGAAGCAGGAGGGGGCTAGGTGCTCGGACTCAGATTTGGGTCGGAAGGGGCAGGGTCCCGACCTGAGTCTTGGGAAACGTAGGGGACTGGAGGTTGAGACTGTGTCCCGAGGTCGCGGGGAACTGGGAAGAAGAAGATACAGGCACACGTAGGTTTCGGTCATTAATTATTTACTGAAACAATCTTGGGAAGTTCGTGTGTTCCCATCCCCAGGGCAGGTGTGCGTCGGGTGGAGTTGGGGGTGGGGGTGGGGCGGGGGGTTGTCCCAGCCCTGGGCACACGCAGAGGGACGGCGTCAGGCGGTGAAGTGCTGGGTCATGGTTGGAATAACAAGCTTCTCCGTGCTGTGGGAAGACCATCAGAGAAAGAGTGTGGGCTCCAAGTCCCCAAAGGCAGCCTGTGGCGCAGGGAGTTGCGTTGGTCGCGCCCTCTGCCGTTGGGAGTCAGGTACCCGGGCAGGAGAAGGCGAAGTCCTCACCAGTTATTGAAGCCCCGAACCCGGCACGCCTGGAACACGTCGATTAGGAGTCCTCCTGGGAGCATCAGGTCGTCGGCTGCAATTCCGTTGTAGTTCCCGCAGGCTGCCCGGAGGCGTCCTCGTAGCGCGCGGGAGGCCCGTAAGGACACAGCCCCCTCGGGCCCCACCAGCACCCGCAGCGTGGGGGACCGCTCGATGATAACCCGGGAGCCCTCACCCCAGCGTGCGACCACACCCCTGCACACTTGGGCCGGGAGCCGAGCTGGCTGTCCGTTCACCTGCAGAGAGGGGAGGCGGGTCAGAGGCGGAGATTAGGGCCCGAAGTCCCAGCGGGGCTCTGAAACCACAGTGAACCCTGCTGGGTGTCTCTATCCGAAAGGCATATCCAGGTCTTTGCTAGAGGAATAAGATCTGGTATTTGCTTTCAAATTCTCCAGCACGAACAAAGCAAAGAGTAGGAGGAAAAGATGAAAGCAAAAATGGCAAAATATTTGTTAACTGTAATGGAGTTTCATGACACCATTCTCTTCTTTTGTGATGCTTGAATTCTTCCGTAATAAATTCTTTCCTAAAAGGAAGCTTTAGAGAAATCCTCTCTAGAACCTGTCGCATCTCTCGCACCTATGTCTTCATAATCTAATAATCACATACTCTGTGCCAGGCACGATTCCAAGTGCTTTAATATCTGGTTATTTACTTTATGAGATAATGTATGACAGTATATAGCATTATATAATGTGATATTTTAATATATTGTCACCTAATTTCTATTATGTAATTATGATATTAAGTTTATAAATTATATTACATCCTCACCAACACTCTGGCAAGGTAGATCATCTTGTCTAGACGTCTAGGCATCTAGATGTCTAGGCATCTATATGTCTAGGCATCTATATGTCTAGATGCCTCTTGCCTTTTACTGATTAGGAAACTGAGGTCTAGAGAAGTAACATAGCTTGCCCAGGTTCACATAGCTGATAAGTGGCAGAGCCAGTTATGAGCCAAAGGGGTCTGATTTCATGTGTTTTTGGCCATTCTGTTACATATACTCCCTCTCCATTAATATAAAAGTAACTGCAAGAGCAATCACAGCTGTTGTTGTTATTTTTTTTTCTTTACATTTATTTTTTAGAGACAGAGACAGCATGAGTAGGGAAGGAGCAGAGAGACAGAGAGAGAGAGAGAGAGAGAGAGAGAGAGAGAGGCACAGAATCCAAAGCAGGCCCCAGGCTCTGAGCTATCCGCACAGAGTACAGACATGGGGCTTGAACTAATGAACCATGAGATCATGACCTGAGCCAAAGTGGGATGCTTAACCAACTGAGCCACCCAGGTGCCTGCAATTACAGCTTTAAAACTTTTTTTAAAGTTTATTTTTAACATTTATTTTTTAAATTTTTTTAAAAATTTATTTCTCAAAGAGAAAAAGACAGTGTGAGCAGGGGAAGATCAGAGAGAGAGGGGGATACAGAATCTGAAACAGGCTCCAGGCTCTGAGCTGGCTGTCAGCACAGGGCCCGATGCGGAGCTCGAACCCAAGAACCGTGAGATCATGACCTGAGCCAAAGTCAGACGCTCAACCGACTGAGCCACCCAGGTGCCCCTTTAAACATTTATTTTTGAAAGAGAGAGAACGAGACTGGGAGGGGCAGGGAGGGAGGAGAGAGAAAAAGAGAGAGAGAGACAGAGAGAGAGAAAGAGAGAATCCCAAGCAGGCTCCATGCTGTCAGCGCAGTGCTCAGACTTGGGGCTCGGTCCCACAAACTGTGAGATCATGACCTGAGCCAAAATCAAGAGTCAGATGCTTAACCAACTGAGCCACCCAGGTGCCCCTTAAATTCATTTACTTTTAAGTAATCTCTACACCCAACATGAGGCTCACACTCATAAACCCAAGATCAAGTCTCAAGCTCTTCCAACTGAGCCAGCTAGGCACCTCAAGAGCTTCTATTTACTGAGCACTTAGCATATGCCACACACTCTGCATGAATCCTCACAGCTACCCTATGTGGTACTATTCCAATCACCATTTTTTGTGGGTGAGCGGGGTTGTGGCAGAGTCCTAGCTGTGTTCTTGCTGGACCATGCTCCCACTCTTGGAAATAGCCTCCTTCCATTTCTCAACATGCGGTTTCAGGTTTGTTTTCCTCTTACTTATAAATAGTATCCATTTTGCTTGCCCAGATTCCAGTTCTGCTGCTCTTCGGCTTCCACGTTTCTCGGGGGAGCCAGATGCCCTCCACTCTGGCCTCTCTCTCTGCTGGATTTCCAATCTCTCCTTGTCTGGCTTCAGATTCCCATCAGCACTTAAACATCCCTGGGTTTCTCCCATCACAAAATCGTAATAGTAATCCAGTTTGAAGAGGCTCTCTGCCTCTTCCTGGCTTCTCTCTATTCTCACCTATTTGACAAGGGGAGTCCGTATGTACAACTTGTTGAGAGAGCTGTGTATTCCTGCTATCTCCATTCCTCAAACCTGCAATCCAGGAGCTGCCGCGCCCCCCACCCCCACCCCCCAGCTGTGATTTCTTCAGTCACTAACAACCTGCCTGGTCCTAAGTCCATGGACATTTAGTGGGCTATTTTAAACTCCATAGTTCATTTTCACTATTCTCCAAATATGTTCCTTCTGTTTTCCTGGCCTTGTTATGTTCTCTTCCCCAGGCTTAAAATCAGGTCTCAGCTCATTTGTTGCCTTCTCCAGAAAGGCTTCACTGGTCTCCTAAACTGAGGGTACCTCCTCTGGGCTTCCACAGTCTACCTGTGCTTCCCCCATTCCAGCCCTGATCACTCTGCCTGGGTTTTCCCCATTAGAGCTCTGATCAGTAGTAGTAGTAGTAGTAGCAGCAGCAGTAGCACTAGTAGTAGTAGTAGTAGTAGTAGTAGTAGTAGTAGTAGTAGTAGGCGACTGCTGGGTTAGTAGTTCCCAGGAATTCAGCAGGACTGGAGTCAAGGTTGGGGGTCAGTGGGTCCTGAGAAGTCCAGGGTGAAGTTTATATGGGGTCTAGAGGGTCATGGGAGATCAGGACAAGGACCTTTAGCCAGTGGAGGTCAATGTGAGAGCAGGGTGATGGGAGGGTTCTATGTTAAAATGTTATGGGATGCCAAGGAGGGATCAAAAGGCCTAGGGATCAGTGCCAGATTATAAGAGTCTTGGCTGGAACTAAGGAAGTCCCTTACCCATATTTCCTGATTGGTTCCCACAGCTGCACAGCCATCCCTGAAGCTGATGATCACTCGTGGTTTGAGAACAGTGCAGCCAGGACAGGGCAGGAATTCAGCAATGACATGGAACCAGTCAGGATCCTGGGGCCTGGAACCCACCAATGTGGCTAGCTCATAGGCACAGGATGTAACAGGCATGGGCGTGAGCCCACTGAAGCCATCAAAGGTGGTGAAGAGGCCCCCAGGCACCAGGCGACATGTAGCACCCTCCCCGGCCTCACACCACCGCACACCCCCATCCAGGAGGCAGTCTGTGCCCTGTGGGCAGGAAAAGGGCTGGCACTGGAGGCCTTGACCATGCAAGCATATACAGCGTTCCTGGCAGCCAGGCAGGATCAGCGCCTCCCCAACCTGCAGAGATGGACAGTCTCAAAATCAAATTCAAAAAATCATTATCAACAAACAGCAAAGCATATGTGTAAAACATATCATGAAGGACTAAGCTCCTTAATATATAAAGAGTTCCTAGAAATAAAAAAGAAAAAGACCAATAAGTCAATATAAAAACATGGATAAGGCTATTCAGAAAGTTAATAAAAAAAGAAATATGTTTCTTAGGCATTTGAAGAGATCCTCAAACTCCTAATAAGACAAATACAAATTAAAAATCCATTGAGACGTTTTTTTCCTCTAGGAGATGGGCAAAAATAAAAAAGTTCGATGAGTTTCTCCAACTGGCCCCCAAATATCTATGAACTGTTCCTTTTGAACTAGTTATCTAATCAAGCTTTGTTTACTGCATTTGACTTTTTGGTTTTAAAGTCTGTTTCAATCTAGGACAATCCCTCTGCTTTGTTCATTGGTGCGTAAAAGACCTTAAGAGCTCTCTGCAAATTCTGACGTGTGGCTAGTGTTAGTGCTGGTGTGGAGAGGCTATGGCAGATGTGTCAGCTCTTATGCCCTGTTCCTCCTGGTGTAGGCATGTATTCAATTCCCAGGGTTGGTCTGGGGTTTAAAATTTATTTGAGAGTGAGAGTGCAAGTGGGGAAGGGACAGAGAGAGGGGAAGAGAGAGAGTCCCCAACAGGCTCCACACCACCAGTGCAGAGCCCGATGTGGGGCTTGAACTCACGAATTGTGAGATCATAACCTGAGCTGGAAGTCAGACATTTCACTGAC